TTGCTACTTCCTGAAATCTTAGCCTTGAAGAAGCTGAAGTCCTTAAATTCGACCAAGAGCGCTCTATCGCAGATACTATGGCACTTAAACGTTTTATATGCGGAATCTTTATTGTAAAGACATGAGTATCGAGGATTGGAATAATATTTGCAATAGAAAATTCGTTGAAAATTTTAGTTCGCCTGAAGCTTGGAAGCATTTCTTACAGTTGTCTTATTTTCGAAGGCAAGGTCATGATGAGGAGAATGCAATGAAGGGATTGAAAGCTGAGGAAAATATACAATGGGAAATTGCCTGCTATTAAGCCAAAGAGAATCTGGAAAAATCAGTGGCAGAAGACTTGCGTAAATCTTATTCAGCAAAGCATTGAGAAGTTATACAAGAACTTTTTCAAATATTAGGCTTTACTGGCATTGATGATAAGTGTACTCTTTCTAGCGATACTGCATCAGAATCATTTATGCGATCTTATGAAAAGTTTATAGAAATTCAAAACCAATTTTTATTACTCTTTGGTTTTAAGTCTCATGCAAAAGAAACACCAGATCTTCATTCGGCTATAAAAATAATTAATGCAATTGCTGGCAATTGGTGTAGGTATTACGTTGAAAGTGATAAAAAAAGAATAGGGCCTAAAGGACAACAAGTTAGGTAATACTCATACTAAATTAATCATCAGCCATATAACGGTACTGGTTTCAGAGATAAAGGCGCATCAAAACTTCTACCATATAGATCAAAAACAGATAATGAGATTCAGGAACACTTTGATCCTATAGGACAGGACAAATAATATTTCAGCCCAGATCGTTATTTAGCTAAGTCTTGATCATATTAGATTTTGTTTTAGTTTTTTTACTTTCACGTCAGGCACAGTCATAAAATCTGCTATGCATGCTATAGATTCTAGTATCAGAATAGGTTAGCTCTTTACAGATAGGGCATATTATTTTAGGACGCGCATTAAAATGTCTGGAACACCCTAAATCACTCATGCATCCTTTCCCACACATTGAACTATCTCTCTTGATGTATTGGCAGATAAAACGACCCATAAGAGGTAATTTTGATATTAATAATCTTAAAACTTCGCTTTCACTTTTATTATAGATATTTAAAATTCCTTTGCTTTAGCACCTTTGGCTAAAGTTACAAATCTTACTCACTCTTTTTGCGACTCTAGCCAATTTTTCTTATAAATGGTTTGGCATATATTGTAGAAAAGGTCAGCCTATTACAGCAGGATGCGCATATTTTTATTATAGATATTTAAAAATGTGTTATGTCAGTCTAGAGCATAAGCTATATCATTTTTTTCGCTCCTTTAATCTAGTCAAAAGCCATCTCTGATATTTTTCCTTTCTGAAGAAGCATGGCTTTGAGAAAATTTTTCGAATTGAACTTTATCCCACTTAATATAATCTGAATACCACAGATTAATCTAACTACCACCATATATTCTACATACCACTCTATGTCTGTTATTACAACCAAGTTCGTTACAGACCACAAACTCATCAATGAGATAAGTCTCAAAAAGCTTAGCCAGTATGCATCAGAAATACTTGAACTCTTGACAACTGGTGTGCCAAAGATAGATAAAGAAAAAAAGCGTCAGGCTCGTGATCGTCTTCAAAAAGGATATAAGTTTAGTAAAGAACAGGCATATGCATTAATTCCCCATGAGAGAATTGAGCGGTACATAAGTCAAGTACTGATCCTAGAAGAACTAGAATTAGAAGCTAAAGTTAATATAAGCATAGTATATGAGAATGTTCCAGAAGGCGAGACTATTAGAGAAACGGCTCAATGTATTGTTCAGGATAATCTTAGTGAAAGAGATGTAAAAGCGATATCTAGAACCTTAGTCAAAATAGCTTCTGATCCTGTAGTTGCCTCATCACGTCTCTTCAGTTTTCGAAGAGAATTGCGAACCCTCAATGCTCCAGAAAAAATAATCTCTGCTACCAAGATTCTGGAGATAACCAGAGCATCTAATAAAATCTAACAGGAGCGTACTGAGTAACGTAAAAATGAAGGACTTCATTATCCAGATCACTTCTCATTAGAATCAGTTAAGGAACGGCTAGATTTGTATGTTGTGTCTAACACACCCGATAAACAGGCCCTAGCTGATATAATAATCATACTCTGTATTCGTCCTGCTGAAATTAAAAACTTGCATATAGCAAATGAGGATGTAACTGGATACGCAAAAAACTGAGGCTAACAGGATATTCCTTAGGTGTTTAGATCACTGGAAAAAAATGAGGAACGAGTAAGACAATTGCTTATATGGATTCAGGAAGCAATCGTTTCTGAAGCGTTAAAAGATCCAAGAAAGCCTGAATCGATATACTTAAGTTCATTTCTGAAAAAAGATAAAATATATTCCTAAATCTTATGAGCCACTACTCCCTAGTTCTATGCGCAAATTAGGGGTGGTATTTATTTTTATAGTACATAAGCATAAAAATCCGTCAAAAGCCAATACTTATGCCAGTGAAGCACTTCGCCACAGTCCTGACAATCATACTTCTCCTTCTGATAGATATACTATAGTTAATTTCAGAAGGAGAGGGCAACCTTATGATCAAGCAAAACTATTCTGGATTTCTGATGAAAACTAATCACATATATGGGTTAGAGGATCAGGATATCATTTATTAATTTTATTTTTTCACTTGAGGCAAGATATATCATATATAAAATAACACGAAAATAGTAACCGATTAAAAGCATTCATCCAATAGTATAGCTAGCGAGCAGAAAGTTATCAGGTATACAGAAAAAACAGCCTGATTATTTGGACTGGATGAGCAGAATGCAAGAGCATATAAAGCACTCTCTGGACAGATTTGGGCATTAGAAAAAAGACTGAAAGATTATCATTTCGAATATGTAAAGCTTAAAAGGAAGGTCAATTTATTGGAAGCTGAATTGGAAAATCTGGACGAATATGTAGACAGGGAGACTGTGGTCGACTTAATACAAGAAAAAATTCCCTTACTGATTGGTAAAAAAGGTAAGACTTCGTGCTGTTCCTTCTATTCGTCTGAGTCCTCTGAAGATTCTGATTCAGATAAGATAATTGAAGGGTCCCATAGGTATCAGGTAAGAGAAAAAAAGGATGTTCCTTATAAGTAACGAAGGAAGGTGCGAGCAAGAAAGGTTAAACGAGTGGTAGTTTAAAGAGATGAATCAGACACTTTGCATATTTTTTCGATCAAAGATAATTGAATCAGATAAATTATTAAGTATGGCTAAAAAATCAAGGAATAACCAGCGCAAGACAATGGGTAAGTTACCTACTAACCCTACGCAGTATTTGCCATTATGCAATCCAGTCAAATATAAATACACATATGATAAGGCCATTGGCTTTATCATTGTTAAGAACATAAGACAGGATAGAGTTGTAAGTGTGTTTGATTACTTTGAGCTGAGTGAATATCTGAAAGTCTGATCTAACCCAGAAAATTTATTTTTTCGATTAAAGATATAGCATATATTATTTATGGCGCATATAAGTATTTTTAATATACAGGAATTATTAGAATATATTTTACATTTCTTAGCAGTAGATAAGTCACTCTATCCCACTCTATTTGTTTGCCAGCTTTGGTACAGATGCGGTGCTCCCATTCTATGGAAATGCATTGAGCTAAAGAAAAATGAAGTAGAGGGTAAATCTCGATTGGGAAGATTTTTAAAAATAGTACACGAAGAAGGACAAAAATCAGTTTATAGCTTGAAATTAACTCATTTTAAAATATCATATTACCACTCAATTTCAAATAAAAAAATCAAAGGCATTGTATACATATTCCCAAATATAATTTATTTAGACTTTGAAAAAAGTATAGATCCTATTGGTGAAGTTCTAAAGCTAATGGCGAAATCATACCCAAATTTGAAGTATCTCAATATATCCGCTTTATATAATAGATTTTGACCAAAAAATGATATAGATCTAACTGCAATCGCAAATTCATGCCACAAACTAGAATATCTAAATATTTCTAATCGCACCGAGTTTTCTGAAATATCAATTTGTAATGTTATTTGTTCTTGCCCAAGGCTCCAGCATCTTGACCTCAGCTTTTGTGAAATTAGCGATATAACTATCGAAGAAATTGCTAGATCATGTCTTAATTTAAAATTTCTTAATCTGAGGGGTATTATAATATTAGCAAAAAAGCTGTGAATCAGCTAAATCCAGATATCCACGTAGAGGATTTTGTGGAAACTTTAACGCCTCCTGATCTCATTAGAGTGGTTAGAAATCATCTTACACAGAACAATGTTGTTAGTAGACAGATTTTAGCTCAAAATCTTCAGAGCCTCTTAGATCTAAGTATGCGAGATAATTTGTAGTGGTATTCTGATCCAGGGTTGGCTAGATCAATAGTCCGGAGTAGTGATCGTTGATCAGATTTTTTGTTGCTGAGCCACATGCATATACTTCTGTACGACAAAAAATAAGTAGATCATCAGTCAGGTCTTGTGTGACATATTAATTTTGCATATACATTCGAAAGAAAACATATTAACCTTTATTTTCTATTTTTTTCCATACAAACATGAGAAAAATGTGAAAGAAAGTCTAGATACAATACAGGACCAACTCTAAAAGTAAATATTGATGGCAAAAGCATATGTTATGAAGGGCTGAGAACTTCGTAATTTCAAGATCTACAAGAACTAACTACCTTTGTATCTCTCCAATAGATCTACATGTAAAAAGGTAAGAGGATTCTATTTACATGTGCTTTTATAGAGTTCTTGGCATCATACGACAATACTAATTATGACTCATACCTCTTTAACTTCGGCTTGTCACTCTTTTCCCAGCCAGATATAAAGCATGTAGTGGTATGTAAAAGTTCAGCCAACCTTCTCGCGAAAAATTAAGGTATATATTAAATATAACTGCTATTTATAACAAAATGTTTCGAAACATCTTTATATATGTAAAGTCAAAATTTTATTTACTATAGCCTTCATATTTAGGAAAAAGTAAAATACCAGAAATCAGACTTAACTGTCTTGTTGTTTCTAGTAACTGTCCAATTAAGAAAATCACACGACATCATGTTATTACAATCAATATTGACAATAGGGAATCTATCCATTCGCTCAGAAAACAAATTAAAGAAGAACATTCACCTCAGTTTGATGATATTCCAATTACTGAATTCGTGATTCATGCGATCGATTTAAATTCAGATAAAAAAGAAGCATCAATTAATGCTAAATCAGTAATGAATAATATACAAAATAAGAGTAATATAGGAAGTGAGAAATTCCTAATATCTAATATTTTTGAGCATTTCCCTGGTCAGCCTTCCCAAAAAGATATTCACATTATAGTATATATAGATATTTAAGCACCTCAGTAGAAAATGTAATATGATATAGTCGTGTATAGCCCTTCAGCAAATTTTTATGTAATGTAAGCCGGCTTTCGGCAATATTTTTTTATTTCATAAATAAAGTATTATTTTATCAAATATATATGAGAACAGGTCACATGTAATAGTGCAATGAATGTGCGACATAAAAACCTATATTATTCTCTTTCCCGAACAGAAATAAATTTTTTATCTCACTCTGAAACATAACACCATTTTTTATCCAAGCTCCAATATCCCTATAAAAACGTAACATACTGTCTAAAACTAGTACACCTTATACTCCAGCTTCCACCTCCACTACTGTTGCTAGAAATGAGACGGTCTCACTGGTGAACGATATTAAAAAATATGACACAACCAAGCTTATAGATTTCTTGCATAGGGAAAAAGACCTAGAACTTAGTGAAAAAGCTTTTGAAATTTTAAAAACGCAAAAGGTTAATGGCTGTGTCTTCCTTAAGACGAGTAAGGAAGAGTTCCAGGGTTTAGGTTTAGGATTTAGACCTGCAAAATCTTACGGACTTCACTAAGGACTGTAAGAATAAAAATTAAAAGCATTCTTATCATACCGCAGTTTGAAGGAAGTATTGAAAAGTTTGATATAAATGGAAATGGTATAGGCACGATCAGACAATTTCCACCAGTGAGTCTGTTGAAAAAGCTGGAATTTCATACACAGTCATTAACTTCTTATTCTTTATAGGTGACCTATAAACTTGAAGATGAAGAAGAGGAGTTACAACAATGTATAAAGGAAATAAAGCGCAGGTTGGAAAATATGGAAACTTTACTTGCCGATAGTAATGAAGCCATGTATTATAAATATATTTCGGTCATTCTCTATGCTTCGCTTTATATCGTCAAAAGAATAATCAGTAAAGAGCTTACCTTAACTCCTCAGCTTGAAGTTGTTGGTGAAGAAAATACGAGACGAGTTGATTACACAATCAAGACACTCGAGGAGCTTATTTGCATCATGGAAGGGAAACTACATCAAGTAGTTATGGGATTTACGCAGAATCTGATCCAGTGCGAAAGTGCCTTACAGGTGAATAAAAATAAGAGAAAACGTAAGTCAGGTGAAGCGTTTAGGAATTACTTCGACTATCTACGGAATCATTACAAGTTAGAAAGTATCTTACAACGGCCTCAGAATAGTATTTTATTCTTTTCATCTCAGATGGAATATTAAGCACGAGCAAAGATCCCCTTAATATTCGATTTTTAGAATCTGCTTTGAAGGAAGGATCGAAGGAAGAAAAAGATTTATGTAAAAACGTGAAGCAGGTTATGGAGGTCATCATTGGGTTGTTGAAGGATAGGCTGGAGTACGTGAATGAAGAACCTGATAGGAAGAGGGTTAGAGTAGAGGGTTATCATTCGAAAAAATAATCATGTATATTAGCATAGACATTATGTATCTTGGGTTACATCCCGAACTTTGTATTTTATTAATAAAAAAAATTGAATTTTGCAGGCATATATGATATGTGAAAAAATATATAATCATGGAACTGTCATTCCAAGGCTATAAACAAATTTGTATTGTAATCGAATTTTAACCAAGTAGTTGTGACAGAGCTAATACATACTCCGACTCTAAAACATCTGCTTTTGTGAATTCGTCATATAATACATTTAGTTTATATCTTGAAAGTACTAAATTTGGGTGATGGAGGAATTTTTAAGTATGTCATCCCTCTAAGCTTTCGTCTCTTTTTGCTCCCAAGTTATTCCTATTAATGTAGTTAAGTTGTTACTGGAATAGTTCATTTGTATTAGATTCTGAAGAGAGGATCATTTATTTTTTTCAAGGGTGAATAAACTCATTCCTTCTACAACAACAGATTCTACACTAATAGAAAAGATTTTACGAATATTCGCTCTACTCGCTAAGATTGATAAAGGCAGAATTAGAGCTAGGTGGTAGAAGTCGGCTAAGGGATCTAGCTCAAATTCACCTACATATATGATTCCAATGTCTTCTAAATAATCTGAGAGTCTATCAACATATTTATAGCCTTCACGAATCAACTTCTGGAATAGCTTTCTGTTTGGATCGATCCATCGGCCAGTTAGAATGTTGAGTACTGTTTTTTCCGTATTCATAGATGATGATTTATGCTGTGGTATATGATTAATCGTTTACGATATACTTTTTCCACTACAGTTTAATTAGGATTTTCTCATTTTGAAATTCGAATTCTATAATGTAAAAGGTGCAAGAATATAATAAATGAATCATCTTACCTGTCCACATATTAGAAAGATTGGGAGCACTTGTGGCCGAGTCTGCACCCGCTTGGTAGGATGCTCGCTCCATTGGAAATCAGATGCAAATAATATGCTAAAATCTCCATGTAGAATATGTGATAAATCTATATTATCTTATACAGGCTATTACTCCAAGCATGCCAAAAAATTTATCATCGTGCTGAGAGGGAGAAGTAACAAAAAAACAATTATAGCGTTACTCTGTAACTGTATATTAGCAGGAGGCGGGACCCTGCATAGAAATTTCGTCACGTATCGGGTTAATTAACCATCATGTATTTATTTTTCGCATGTATTAATAAAAATTTTTTTCTTGGCAAAAGTGCATGAATTTTTTTCACACAGTCACATGATTTTTTATTTAAATAATAGGATTTTATTACTTAAACATAATATAAATATAATAAATTCATCGCTAACGTGAGTAATGGATCATATTATATATACTATATTAAATGCTTTTAGAAAATTGTGGCCAAATGTAGATACGTCTGTGTGGGATATCTTAGCTGAAAGAATTCGTGAATTGCTTTTATGCCCAGAATGTCACAAACCTATTTTCACAAATCTGCAACAAAAAAATATTACTATTCTTACAGATAGACGCATGATTCATAGTGTTTGTCTTGAATGTCCTGCTATTAAGGCCAAAGAAAGGAATGATGTTTCTCAGATAAAAGCTTCACAGGATACTAAACTCTCGAATCATAATTCTGATATGATTGAAGCGCCTATTATAAAATAACAAGAAGCCTTAGAACCTATTTCTTATCTGAAAAATAGTACTTTACATAATAACTCACAAAATGACCTGGGATTGTGTTCTTGAAGAAACCACCTATCCCTTAAAACCAGTTCCGTTAAGAATGATTTAATATCTGACTCCGATATCAAACAGCAAACTCAAAACATTACTAATTTGCAGGATGTGTATTCTATTGAAGATATTTCTTTTGAGAAAACTTCATTGGAAGATAGAGAAATAGATGCTTTCTTAGACAGAGAATACAAGAAAAAGGTTAGTAATGAAATCAGGCAAAGAAATAGAGAAAAAAAGCTTTGAGACTTGGATTTACCTGATACTTCTGACATTCCTTCATCAGAATCATCCACAAGTTCGCATCCTATCTCTAATAACCCTATCTTATCAAAACAAAATGCTAAAATAAAAGCACCTGAAATAGATATACAGCCTTTGATACAAGAATTGCTTATAGAACCTTTGGAAGAAGATTATGTTAAGGTTGTTAATGTGAAGGAGAGTACTGCTGTTGATCAATCGCCTGTAATAAAATTAGCTTATCTATATGAAAAACGAAATTTGCTGAAATTAGGACTATATGAGCCAAACAAGATGAAATCATGAGCTAGTATTGCTATAGAAAGTATTTTGAAAAAAGACATAGTGAGATTTTACCTAAAATTTTAAAGAATGGACTTATTACAAATAAAAAAGCCTATGAACTTGCGAGTGGGCAGATTTATGATGAAATACTACAGTATCTTTCAGAAGTCTCTCGTGTAAACTTGCGCAAAATAACCCAGCTAACTAAGCCAATATATATATTATTTAGCGAAATTGAAGAAGATATGATTATGTGAATCAAAACTTATAGTGCAAATAAACTCTCAAAGTTAACTGACATGCAAATCAATACTATTAAAACAACACTGCATGAAAAAAATTCACACACTCACGTGACTTCAGAAATGATCATTAGCGATGCCAAATCTAAAGTAAGAATTCCAATTGTATTCTCAGACCCACTGGTCATCCCATATGATGCTCGTGCTCTCTATATCAATGAAGCTTTAAAAGAATATCCCTACTTATCCTTATATAATAGTGACAGACACAATGATGCATATGAATTTAAAAATTCAGGTTTATATTCTGGATGTGGAAAAAAGCATACTGAAGGGAAGGTAGTTGGCCGATGCATAAAAGGTTCTTATTACATTAAGTGTCAATCCTCACCTAATGAAAAAGAAATCAAGATAAATGCTTTACCGGAAATGATTTTATCAGTCACACCTCAAACAAGTAAGGCTAATCCAATTTATAACCACTCCTATTTTCGCAACAAAACATTGGACTAATATCCTGCTTTATATAGAGAATTTAGTAGTGAAAATTTTGATTATTATGGCATTACTGATGAGACATCATGCCTATTATGCAGTTTAGATCATGATGACAAGGAAAGTATAGAAGATATGTATAAATCTGAATCTTATTTTATTAAATGTGAACAGCGCGAAATTGAGATAACTGCATAGCCTCATTATTTTATAATATATTCTATTTACTTACGATTCATTGTATGATATTTTTTTTAGGACTAATTATGTCGACTATTACTATCTAATTTAAATTGATTCATAATCATAGAAAAAAAGAAAATGACTGAGTCTGTTAAAATACTAACCGCTGATTATCTGGATTGGTATGCCAAATTAACTGGATTACCAAGTGTTTTAACGGATAAGATTCAGTCCAACTTATACAAAAAATATAAAAAAGAAACTGGGTATGAGCTATGGCAATTATCAGAAGATCGCCTTCTCATAAATTCAAAGCCAGAAAACAAAGTATCCTATTTATCTTCTTCGGAGCAATGTGAAGAAAAAGGGCCTATAACTTTTGAAGTCAGATCCGATCCAGAATTAATTATCAAATCTGTCTTAGAGCACTTCCCACACTTGAAATTTGGAAATAGTTTCAGAGGAATTGATAATTATGATTTTACATCACCTTAGCCATGAAGTTCATCATACCTTATTTGCGATAGAAAACATGGGAATTATGGATTACATGACTCATAGTACTGCAAAAATGGGAATCAGTTCCCTTATGATCCTGAATTAACGAAGTTGTATTCCCAAGATAAGTTGGAATATTATCTTACCTGCAACACTTCAAGCAATAAACTCAAGTTTGCAATTGTAGCATAGAAGCTCTGTCGTGTACTCCCATACTTGTATTTATTTTTTTTATCACTTGCATGTATTAATAAAATACTGTGAATATTCTTCTCACTTATCACCTGATATATAAAAAGTAATGATGCCAGAGACGCAAAAGTATCCTAGTGGTATCGACTTGACTTCCCATATTGTAAAATATATTATGTAGTCAAGACAAGAATACATTAATCCAGCATATACCCTTGATATAAGTCCAGACGTTAACTGTCTGATTTGTGTTGATAGATAGTGTCTATTATGATTTTCGTGATGCGGTCATATTAACGTT